TAGGGATTAGAAATTAGAAGTCTCTAAGATGTGTATAACAGACAGTTTATATATATATATATACACACTAACGCATAGTCCAGCACTTTTATTTTCTAAAATATTCTTTTAATAATATATTTTTGCCCAAATATAAAAATATGCACAGATATACACATGTATGTAATATATTCTTAAAAAATGTTTCAATAATAATAATAATATTGTTTTGTAAAAGGTGTCAATGGAATCATTCCACCATATAAAAATTGTTAAAAAAGAAAACACAAATTAAGTGCTGCTAATCAAACCTCTGTTCATTACACAGTGAAAAATAGATTACACAGTCTACCAACATTAAATTTAGAAATCTCTATCTACAAAAAACAAGACATATAATGATACTACTTGTTTTACCAAAAAAAGTGTATGTATATGTTCAATCTTTGTTGTAAGATAAGGCGGTGCCATGAAATCTTACTATTATTAAATATATCAAAACAATAACAAATAGTCATTCTCAATTCTTATCTGGTCTCAAACTCAGCAAGACATTCTCAATTCTTATCTGGTCTCAAACTCAGCAAGAGTATATCAAATCCATGGTGCTGTCCAATTTAATACAATTTAAGAAATTAATATAGCAATAAAAACATTTTTTGAGTAAATAAAAAAACTATGAAAATCTTAATTACCCCATTTGAAAGTTCAAAAGTCCATCAGCTCCCCTAACCTAAACAATCAAGTGTCTATCACAAGTAAGCACTCAGTAATTAAAGTACCTCATTTCATTTCTATCAAAAGAAGTTGGACAACCACGAACCTTTCAAATTAGATTTAAAGATCCAGGAGCTAATGGAACTATAATTTATTTAAGAACCTTTAAACTTAGCAGTTCTGCTACTTCTTGATAAGACACTTGAAATAAGAAAAGATCAACCAAGTTTCTTCTCCTGCATATGGCTTTGTAGTAATGATATCCTCTTGATTAGTCATTAACTAGACTATGCAGTCACAAATAACAGAGCAGACAAGGAAGGAAGAGAGAAAAACCAATTAAAAAAGACGGAGAAAAGACCAGTTACCTATGCACAGCAGTCTGTGCTAGTAAAAAGTCCTCTAAGTCTTCCACACAGAAAACTTTCTCTATGATGAGGGTTCTGAGTTTATTTGTGTGAAAATCCAGCAATTTAAATACCAAAATCTGTCAACTAAGCTTAACCAAACACAACACACTGAGATGGGTGAACATAGCAATGATGTGTCACAAGACAATAAAAAGAAAGGAATTTTGAACAGTACCATCCATGTCATATCAGCTAACTCTAAATTTTGAGCACAATAAATTATGATAACTGTTACAAAGTCACCATGGCTGAGGTCCACCCCTAACCCACTTAAAAAACTATCTTAGTTGAAGTTTAAGGGTGGTGGACTACCTACACTTGTCATACTTCTCACAGATAGTTTTGGACAAAAGAAGAGGGTTGGAAAGCCGCAGTGACTTCTTTGAGAATTGTCTTAATTACAGCCTAATACAAAATTTGTTTACTCTTCCATCACTTAAAAATAAAACTTAGATAATGTTTATAAGATTGACCAATTCTAACTTAATAAGCTATTTCTAAAGATTGAATTAAACCCTAAGTCAAAATTCAAAGAACAATCTTAACACACTTCAATTTACCAACTAATATTATTTTTGAGAGATACACTAGTCACTACCATTCCTAACCATTTCTTGAAGGATTGTAATTTGCAATAGATTTAGAAATCTCAGCAAATGTCTATTAACGTTTGAGCTCTAGGCTCAGTGTCTTTGTTGTGTATCTAAGTCTTCTATAAGGCAATTGTTGTGTTTTTCAATACCATCAATTTGTTGTGTTTTTCAATTTTTTCAGGATGGTCTACATTCATGAACTTCTGGTCTTCTATAGACAAAACACCTGAGGAAATAAGAACCAAGACAGAAACCATTCCATGAAAGGAACAAAGCCAGTGTGAAGTCATTTGATTCACTTGAAACATATTCTACACACTAAATGTCAAGGCTGTAGACCATACGATAACCTAATAGTCTTAACTATCATTCAATACATAAAAACATATCTATGTTTAATTATTCAAAAGCTAACAAACTAGTCTCTCAAGGAGTTATTACAAACTTGTAAAAAGAAATTCACTATCAATTTCATTATCAGTCACGTAAAGGGTAAAATCCAATCCATTTAGTTCATAACGCACTGTGTAAAACTCATAGCATATATTAAAAAGAACGTACTATCCCAGCGACTTGACATAACATTACAGAATTTCATTCTTATAAAACTAAACCACTTAATGCAGAACCTGATTATAAATAATATAAAATGAATCAAGCTCTGTTATTCGAATAACAGAAACAAACACAAAAATTATTTTAAAGCTTGGGATTGCATTAGTTATTGATTAAAAATATCGACGAGGTTACTTATGATAGAAAAACATAACTCTAGAAACAAATGAAAACATACAAGATGCACTGCGGATAGTGGATTTAACAAGAACCTCTTCGAGAGTGGCAAAACATTCCATCTACGTCCTAATACTAAGAATGAGGGATTCGAAACACAGACTCCAACTGTTAAAAACTTATGAAGTCAGGCGAAATTGCTTCGTAGCAAATTAGGGATTCGAAATTAGAAGTCTCCAAGAGAAATTGGTGGTTGGAGGAAGAAGGATGTGAAGATGTTACAGGTTAGGGATGTGTGGGGCCATTTCCTTTGAGGTTGGATGGGCAATGGGATAACAGCTCCTCTCTCACTGAACTAAGCCCAGGTGCAAAAAGTTATTGTTGTTTATAGAGATAAGATGGTTGACTACCTTTTCTTTTTTTCCATACAATTTATACTTAAAAACACCAAATTAATGGAAGCACATTTTATGAGCATCATTAACTAAATATTCTACTGTCTTTTTATAATTTTTTAGAGAAAATTGTATTTTCTTTTTAAATAAAACATCAGAGAGTACTATGTTTTAATAATTTTCTTTTCTAATTTATTAATTTTATTTTAAAAACTATGATTACATCCTTAATCAGATATAACTCTTTTTGTATTTTATTTACTTCCATTTGATTATAATTTATTTAAGTATTTTTTTTCATCATGGTATCCATCATTATTTATATAAAAGGTCATCTTTATTTTTTGTATTTAATGAATATAAAATTTTTGTTTTATTCATATCATTATTTTTATAAAATAATGTTTTTTTTTTATTATTTTAGATATTATTTAATTATTTTTATATTATATTATTAAGTACTTTTGCATTTTTCTTTTTTATATTAAATGTAACATCCCAATTATATACCAAATATATATTATGGTAGTCCCCAATTATGATATAGAAGAACAGTTAGAAGTTACACCTGTAAACTAAAGTTTTAAGAATTACAGTCATTCTCAAAATAAAGCCATAATTTATAATTTTATGTACTAAAGAGTATTTCAAAATACATGAAATAACTAAGAAAATTCTAAGGAGACTAGGCTGCAGCATCATCGCCCTCCAATGTCCGCTCCAGGGATACCTCATCGCCCTATGCTCACATCCAAGTGGATGATCATTGCAAAAGAAGCACATAACACAAGCAAGACATAAACAAGCAGAAAGGGTGAGCTAGATATACAAAAATCATGTTATATTATCACACACAACATGCAAAATTCATTCAAGCATACTGAATTGCAGTACAAGACTTGTTACACTTTAAACCGACTCGTCCGAACTTAGAATGATAGTCGAGCTATGGTGGGTCTTGCACTCATGGTGGCTTATGATACTTGGGTTCCCCACCCTACCACACTCATAAGGTTAGCCTGTTCCGGGCCTTGAGGCGTACTGGAAGCCCCCAAGACTAAGACCTCCTGCCACTCCTCACCACATGGTTCAATC